TGCGCAAAAAATATCAACTGTGAACACATCTTGCAAAATTGCAGATCTACTAAAAGAATACATCGACATCACTAAACCAACACCTACAAATCGCCAGGTGACCAAAGTCACTCACCACATATTAACAAAAGGTCCACCAATATGTGAGAGACCACGTAGGTTACCTCCAGACAAGCTAGCAGCAGCAAAAGAAGAATTCCAAAACTTAGTCACAGCCGGAATATGCCGTCCATCAAGCAGCAATTGGGCTAGCCCCTTACATATGGTAAAAAAACCAGACGGTAGTTGGAGACCTTGCGGAGATTACCGTCGCTTAAATGCAATCACCATCCCAGATCGTTACCCAGTTCCTCACATACATGATTTTGCACACATGTTATATAACCAAAAAGTTTTTTCAACCATCGACCTGATTAAGGCATATCACCAGATACCAGTTGAACCGGGAGATATTCCAAAAACGGCGATCATAACTCCATTTGGATTATTTGAATTTACTAACATGACATTCGGACTTTGCAATGCAGGTCAAACATTTCAACGCTTCATTCACGAAGTATTACGAGATCTCGAATTCGCCTTTGCCTATATTGACGACGTCATTATTGCATCAGCAAACGAGGAAGAGCACAGGCAACACTTGCAACAAGTATTCGAACGATTCAGAAAACATGGTTTAATAATAAACGTATCAAAATGCGTTTTTGCTCAAAACACAGTAAAATTTCTTGGTTATCTCATCAGTGAAAAGGGCATTCAACCTCTACCAGATCGAGTGAAGAGCATCAGCGAGTACCCGCTTCCAACAAAAACAAAAGAATTAAGAAGATTTCTAGCATTACTTAACTTTTATCGCAGGTTCATACCAAACGCTGTAGATTCTCAAACTGCACTTCAACAAATGATAAAAGGAAACAAGAAGAACGACAACACACCGTTATGCTGGACCGAAGTGAACAAAACAATCTTCCAAAAATGTAAAGATGAACTAACAAACTCGACACTACTTGTTCATCCGTCAAAAACTGCTACGCTTGCATTACAAGTAGACGCCTCGGATAAAGCTCTCGGCGCAGTTCTTCATCAAGTGACAGACAGCACGTTCCAACCACTCGGTTTTTTCTCTAAACGATTAATAGATACACAAAAACGATACAGCACATACGATCGTGAGTTGTTAGCCGCATATCAGGGCATAAAACATTTTCGACATATGTTAGAAGGTCGTGAATTCGTATTAATAACTGACCACAAGCCACTCACGTTCGCATTCCAGCAAAAGTCCGACAAGGCTTCACCACGTCAAGTCCGACAGCTTGATTATATAGGTCAATTTACAACGAATATCGTTCATGTCAGCGGAAAAGACAACATCCCAGCAGATTTTCTCTCGCGGATAGATTGTATTAGCATCCCAAAAATCGACTACGATTGTATAATTGGATTACAACGATGTTGCCCACAACTACAAGATATCAAAAACAACAATTCCATCGAAATCAAACTTTTATCTTTACCAACAATATCAGATAAAATTTATTGCGAAGTTTCAACTGGGCGAATTCGTCCTTACATTCCGCAGAAATACCGGCTACATATCTTTAAAGCTACGCATGGGTTGTCTCATCCCAGCATTCGGGGCACAACAAAAATGATAGCTGAAAAATTTTTCTGGCCTTCTATAAATGCTGATATCAGAAACTGGACCCGACAATGTATCCCATGCCAACGTTCTAAAGTGCAACGTCACAACCGTTCACCTATTTGTCAATATGAACTCGCTGAACACAGATTCGAACATATAAACATAGATATCGTCGGCCCGCTACCACCATCAAACAACTGCACATATATATTAACCATCATCGACCGTTTCAGCCGATGGCCAGAAGCAATTCCGATCCCAGATCAAACAGCGGAAACCATCGCAAACGCACTGATTACTCAATGGATCGCACGTTTTGGCGTACCCTTACGTATCACAACAGACCAAGGAAGACAATTTGAATCTTCATTGTTCAACCAACTAGCTGAAGTTATCGGTTGCAAACACTTACGAACTACGAGTTACCATCCTCAAAGTAACGGAATGGTGGAACGATTTCACCGCACATTAAAAGCAGCCTTAATGTGCCACCAAACAACTTCTTGGACAGAAGTTTTACCAATAGTATTGTTAGGTCTACGCACGACTTTTAAACCAGACATTGGAGCTTCTGCTGCTGAAATGCTATATGGCCAAACTCTACGTTTACCGGGCGAAATAGTAAGCAACCCTAGCCACAGAAATATAAATCAACACGATTTCATAACCAGGCTAAGAGAACAAATGCAGAGCGTCAAGGCAACGTTGGTATCGCATCATATAGACCGAGGCTACCACATCCAACCGGCTCTAAGCTCAGCCACGCATGTATTTATACGAAATGACAAGGTAAAACCACCATTGACGCAACCTTACGATGGTCCTTACCAAATACTAGAGCGAAATGACAAGACGTTTAGAATACTGATCGAAAACAAAGAACAAACAGTTAGCATAGATCGTCTTAAAGCTGCTTTCATATGTCCCGATACAGACATTGACATCCACAACAAATCAATGGTATACCACACTCCAAACAACGTTAATGGCGACCAGTCTGTGCGACCAAATACAACAGCTAACCTGACAAAATCAGGACGCAACGTTCGCTTTCCAACCAAATTCAGTGACTCCATCACTTAGGGGGGAGTACTGTGGCAGCACCAAAAAATATAAATAAAAGAACTGTCAACAAGGCACAAAGGAGACAACAATAGCCGCAGTTCCCGCCAGTAGTAGTTTGGAAAAAGACAAAGCAGCACGTGAATAAAACGAAAAAACACAAATTTTAACTTTAAGAATATTTTATAATAACTAAGTATAAGAAATAAATAAACTTATCCATTACCAATACGGAGTGTTAAATTCGAAATAAAACCCCAACATAAAAAACCACTACACTCTTTAACACCAATTCCGCGTAAATAAACAATACAAAAATTTAAATTAAAAAAAAAACAGCTGATTCACACATCACATAAATTTTACTTGAAATAAAATGTACGAGTAAAGTCTATTTAGCATTTTCAAATTTCGACAGGGGTTTTACGCTCTCTTAGATGCTTTCATTTACTCAAAAATTTTTGCTGGTGGAACGGAATTATGACACATAGTGTTACTCAAAGTTACTACGAGTGGAACAAAAGTGTTTATGATGTCGATTTTGTGAGTAATTGTTATGAACGACAGAGTTCTTGTGTAACACGAAATATTTCTATATCTAATATATTTGTTTTAGAGCACAATTACATGAACAAATATGATCCGAACAATAATTGTGCTTACAGTATCCGAACAATTAAAAGTCGAATAAACATTACAAATATACTGTGCATGGCAAATCATTCTCATGGCTATAATAAGCAAAATCTACTAAATGAGACATTGTGAATGTGCTATAAGTACATATTTTTTAAATTGTTCTAATATATTTATACATACATACTTTCAATTTATTCATTTTATTTATCATTTACTTATTATTTATTATCAGGAGTGGCCATGTAAGTTATAGAGCCTTACGAAGATATCTTCTTTTAGTTTGGTTAGAAAATATATATATGTATATATATATATTTGTATGGCAATTCATTCTCAATTGTGGCTATATAATGAGCAAAACCTACTAAATGAGACAGTGTGAATGAGCTATAAGTACAAATTTTTTAAATTGTTTTAATATATTTATATATACCTTTAATTTATTCATTTTATTTATCATTTACTTATTATTTTTATCAGGAGTGGCCATATTAGCTAAGGAAGCCTTGCGAAGATATCTTCTTTTAGTCTGATTAGAAACTATATACTTTTGTTAAACATGAAATATAATTTGTGCAAATGATTGTTTTTCTATTTTCTTTTCAAAGGAGAAAAAATCTATGAGACGCAAGAAAGCATAAAAAATGAGTGTAAATACACAGGAATTCTAAGCAGTTACCATTTGAAGACATATAGTTTATGTTATATGGATAGTTGTATACAGTATAGTTGAAGTCAAACTACTGTTGTCGATACAGTGGCTAGAATTGATGTAAGTTTAAGTAAGTAAATTAGTTCCCAAAAATTTTCTTTTGAAAAAAATAATATCCTATAGTATAGTTTTAAATATATTTTTATTTGGAGCACTATGTCCACCCAGTATGTATATATATATCAATTTTTAAAAATTTAATCAATCACACGAATTAAACAAAACAAAAAAATTGTCAAAATTAATGTCCAATGATTAATGTAAATGATTAATATAAAATAAAATTACAAATTTACTTATTTTATTTTCCTTCAATACACATGTAAACGTGTTATATTAAGCAAAGTTCGATAGCTAAAAGTCGCAATGTAAACATGGTATAATGTATTCCGTGTTGCTGCGTCAGCATGTTACAGCAAAAATGCAACCCTGCAATTGTAAGGAAACAAAACAAGAACTAATAAATGAAAATTACATTCCATTGTTGACATCATTTTGTACCATATTGAATCATAAATCGAGGTATTTTAAATGGAAGCACTAGACTCCTTGGAGAGACGTATCGATACGTTATCGCGTATGTTGGGACCTGTAGAAGAAGCCAACATAACCGGCGGTGAAGTGAACAGATCCGCTAATGTTGTGGATACATTGTTGTCAACGAATAGTATTTTAAACGATGCACTTAAAGAGCGAGAGCAAATCAATAAAGCAATAACAAGAACTAATGAACTTGAAAAATATTTAGATCCAAATTTTTTGGAAGAAAATCAGCAAGTCCGTTCCAGGGAAGTATATTTAAATGCTATTGCACCAGATCTCAAAGATCAATTTCAACAGCTTGATTTGATTAAGCAATTAGAGTCTACATTAGGTGCTGAATATTTTCGCAATATACCAGGCGAGTGTACTGAAAAATTAAAACAAATTTCGCAGGATAATACAGAATTCGCTCAACAAAGTGAACTAATCGAAGATAGCCTGATTTCAGCAATGAAGCGTTATGGTGAGATACAAACAGGACTGCTCGAATCACTCGATGCTATGAATAGAAGGCTTGAAGTAGTTGAAGAAAAGTTATTGCAGAAAAAACGCGACGACTTAGAAAAAACTTTGGAAAACAATGCTGAAAGTAAATAATATTAAAGTGTATTAATTTTTCCTAGATTTTAAAAGTATTTGTATATTTAATTTTTCCTATAAATGTATTTCCAATATATATAATTTAATTTTCTATTTGGGGGAAAAGCCCCTTTTTACGTTTCAACGTTTGTGCTTTTACCTTATTTGTGCAATTAAAGTTTCTTAAAATAAAAAGTTTAAATAGTGTACTATTAATTAGTATTTATTTATATTACATTGTCGATCGTTATTTGTTAAATACAATTCAAGATAGTTATGCTTTGAGTTAGTTTTTACATGAAAAAAATCATTCATCATCCTCTTTATCTTTACGGTGTGATTTTTTTTTATCAGTGCGACTTGATTTACTACTTCTCTTTTCTCTAGACTTTGAACGCCTTCTCTTATCATCTTTTTCTCTTTTGTCGTCTTTTTCTCTTTCCCGTTCCCTTTCACGATCTCGCTCTCTTTCCCTATCTCTTTCACGGAGATCACGCTCCTTGTCTCTAGATTTGGAACGACGTCTAAGTTTCTCTTCTTTCTCTCTATTGTCATCTTTATCTCTTCCACGATCACGCTCCCTCTCTCGTTCTCTCATATCACGTTCCTTATCACGAGATTTAGAACGACGGCGCATTTTTTCTCTGCTACGAGAACGTTCTCGCCTTGACCTACTAATATAAAAAATAGTTGTTACATACGATTATAGATATGTTACTTTTGTATGCAATTAAAGTTTTGTCTGGTTCATTATTTAATTCATAATAAAATTACGTGCGGCATATTCTTAAGCGTGGTACAGACTTGCAAACTTAGCTGTCTGTCAACTTGCGCTCACTCTTGCTCAAACTTATTCTAGCGACCGAACTTGAACATGTTCACAGTTAAAATTTGTCAGTCAAGCAATATTTTTGAGCAGTGCGTTTGCGCACGCTGTAAAAATTTGTGTAACCACGTAAAAATAAGCTATTAACTGACGGAATTCAAATTTTTGTGACTATCATTCACAACATGTTGGCGAAAAGTTGATTTTGGTACCCACCAAAATTTTGATGAGAATGCCAACGTATTGATTGAGTGTCATTCAAAGGTGCAGACTTGCAGTTTTGCTCACAGTCATGGCATTCTCTCTCTGGAGTGACAGTCAAGTTTGCAAGACTGTACCGCGTTTTAGTTTTTTAATTTTCAGAGAATGGAAGAATTGAACGAGAACTTCTGTAGCAGAAATTCCTTCATATTCATGTCCTCGTGGCTGCAAGTTACATTATGAACCAAGCATTAAGCAGTTACCTCTCACGATCTCTCTCTCTATCCCGATCTCTTTCGCGTTCTCTTCTTCTACGCTCACGTTCTTCATCACTGCGCTCAGAAGATTCCTGTAAGTATAAAACTTTAGGTTAATAAAAGAACTTCGACTTTTTCTATTTTAGATAAAATGAAATTTTCAATTTTTACACTTAGCGGATCATGGAATTTCTTATACATTTTCTTGAAAGGATTGTAGTTTGATACTCTAAGTTTAAATATGAATATTAATAAAGTATTGTTAAAATATATTAAATAAGAATTGCATACTCTAGCAATTGTCTTGATAAACATTGCTGAAATTTTTATTGAAATCAGTTAGTTTAATATTGTATTAAAAATAAAACTCATGCTTACTCTTCCTAATGGTATATTTGATGGCGGGGGATAGCGTCTTTGATTGCGTTCGTGTGCTACATAGTTCAAATAATGAAATTTAATAGGAAATATCAAAATATATTTATTTCTATTATTATAGTCTATTGAACGTTATACTTACGATCTATAAGATTATTATGTGGTCCATGTGGGCCCATCATGCGCGTATGACCCATTGGCATGCGCATTGGTGGACCGTTATTCGGACCCATCATCATACCAATACCTGGTGGAGGACCCATATCTATAAAAAAATATTTTATATAGAAGTTCATATATTAAAAAAACAATTAGGTTATATTTACTCATATTAGGAGGCGGCATGCCTCCCATCAATGGTGGTGGTCCCCGCATAGGTGGTCCCCCTAATTGCGGTGGTGGCACACCCATAGCACCTGGCGGCATACCTGGAGGACCAGACATTTGTGAAGGTGGTACCATACCGGGACCAGGCGTTAATTCTTTTATACCACTTGGCACCCAAGCAGGATTATCATTACCCCATTGCGATTCCTGAGTTGGTTCGTAACCATAATCAAATGCATCCATTTCGGGAAAAAACGGTTCTTCGGGCGGTCCACCAGCAAATGGTGGCAGTTGTCCCAACACACCTGTACGTGAATACTCACGACATTCGGCGGTCATTACTTGAATAACATTTTCTTTTGTGCCTGTAGGACGTGGAGGACGTGTCATAACACTTAAACGTGGTGGAGGACCATGATGAGTTGTCTGTGGCGGCAAACCTAGTGGAGGAATGTGTATTTGGTCGTTTATAGTCGGTGTTTGCGTTGATCCACCAACTGGTTGTATTGCATTATCTTGCATGCGATCCATATTTTGATTGGCATTTTGGGTTAAACTCGCTAATCCCACACCACTTTCCACAATTCTCATACGTTTTTGGCGTTCACAATATGCACGCCAAGTTTCTTCGTTGAACCCATAATTAAAATAGTCTGTTATATCTGCACCCGGTTTACGCCATGGTTTCTCTTCCAATGAATCAATGCTAAATTCATGTGCCGGCACTCCATTTATTACACCCACACCATCAAAGTCTTCCACACTAAATTTTCCACCTTGTGAGGTAGATTTTGTTTTATCTTGTCCACCACCCGCAGCCAATAAATTTGATCTCTGTTTGATGTTATAAGTACTTGGTGCAGCTTTTATATCACCTATGACAACATTAATATCATCATCTGAATCATCGTCATCTTCATCCGATACTCCACCGGATTTAGGCTAAAATTACAATTATAATATAAAAAGGTCATTATTTTTTTAGAAAGAAAATAACGAAAACATACTTCTTCATCATTTTCTGCACCATCGTCAGTCGTATCGGCAGCAGTCATGGCTGAAGCCACCGCTTCTTCATCTTCCTCCATACCTTCGGCTGGATCTTCAAAAGCACTAAACGATTCATCTTGCTCACCAGTATCTGCAGGTTCCTCTTTTATTTCAATTTGTGTATTCTCTGCAGCTTGTGCTTCATTTTCAGTGGTGTCAGTTTTTTGTATTACTGGCGTAGACTCTTCAACTGCATTGCGTTCTTCCTCATTTGTTGTCGAATCGGGATTTGAAGTTCCATATAACCAACTTTCTTCATTATTATCATCTGCCATTATGTAGATTTTGTCGTTAAAGTAACATTTAATTTAGAAACGAATTATGTATGCAAAAAGCAAGCTATTGCGGCAATTGTAGAAGTATAATGTGAATTGTTAAAACAAGCATAAACGTCAAAATAATTCTTAAGAACAGAGTTGTTCTATAATTTTGTAATTCTACGTTTACATTATGAGATTAAGCGAACTAGCTTAAGGCAGTGTGCTAGTTCGAGTATATTGATGATAAATTGAGGAAAATAGTAAATTATGTCGATATAACAACGAATGTTGGTATTTACCAGAATTTCGAGTAGGGTAAATTAGGTTAAAATTAGGTAAATTAGGTGTTACCATGTTGAAAATTTTATAACATGTTTAATAAGTATGTAAATAAATTTGAAGACTTTAAATCAAAAATAAGAAATAAGTGTAATAAATAAATAAATAAATATATATTTCATACGTGCAGTACAAAAAATCTCTAGGGCAAATGTCTCTATTTACCTAAATATACTCAAACTCGCACACGGCCTAAGTTAATCTGCATTTTTTACTCACACCATTTACATTATACATTGAGATTAATTTTGATGTATCCCTTATGTTTTGCTCCGTATGTTTGATAAATTTCTGTAAATTAAACATTTAATTACAACTATGTACAAAAATATTATAATATATATGTAATAAATTATTTTTGTCGAAAACAACTTTGAATGTATGTATTTCTTTTTACGGCCCTCCAATCTGTACAGTAATTTGTATTATTCTGCGCAGTTCTGATCTTGATGATTACTTTAATCTACTATTAATCACACAATCTAAATGCACATATAAATTGAATAAATGTACCACTTTATAAATGTAGTGTGCATTTTTGTTTTTCAATGGATAATGAATGTATTCAAAACCCAGGTAATTCTTTATGGCCCATTGTTTGTTAAATGGGTTGCTACCGATAGCAATGAAGTAAAAGTAGCAATGAGAGAGTCCGCTCTATGCTACATAGCAATTTTTAGCAGCTTTTTATTACAGTAATAAAACTTTTTGCAGCAATAGTTAAAAAAAAATATTGTGTAGTAAGACAATAATGGTATTTAATATATGTTCCTCTTTTCATTACTCTATTGCTCTTTCGCTTTTCCTATTAGGTATATATAAATTATTTTAGTTAAATATTATTATGTTTCTGTTACTTATATAACATTTAAATGCTTTTTATAATTTATAAAACAACCGTATATGTAGATTGTGTATACAGTGCGCCACTCAGGCAACTTTATCATTAAGTATTAATATTTTACTGTAGAAATTAAATAAAATTATTTGAATCCGATTTGTTGATCGTAGAGGAAGTGTTATTGTGTAATTATATATTTGCGCATATTTTTCGATTTTTTGAAACTATAACGGTGTAATTTTATAAAATTATTTAATAATATATTAAATTTTTGACATCACGAAAAAAAAATTTTTTAAACAAAATGCGTTTTAAAGGAAGGTAAGTAAATATTACTTTTATAAAAAATATTTATCAAACACAAATATTTAGTGGTTATTTAAACTATATATTAATCACAATTACCGTAAAAAAAAATAATTGATTTATCTAATTTTGCGTAGACTATTGGCAAAATAAAAACACAATTATATGAAAGATATATAATCAAAGAATTTTAAGTATTATTAAATAATTTAAATTAACAAATGGGTAATAATTAAAACAAGTATGTTAACTACATACTATTAACAACCTATTAATTAAGTTCACAAAATCTTTTAAATCTTCATAAACTTCAGTAAATAATAATAATTTAATGAAGTTGTGTGCTCTCTTCATTTAAAAATGTAAACCCAAACATTGAGATCGTTTTATGATACTGTAATAAAATATTAGCTTGAATAGTGCAATATGAATAAGTGAATATTTAGATAATAAAAAGTATAATATGATATTAAATAAGTGAGCAG